TCCACCCCATAAGGGTGCATGTGTGTGTTTTGTCTGTCTTCCATCTATTTGTTTGTCAACTATGACCTGCCAGAAAATAGCATTTCGAAAATTATACAGTCGCCGGGATGGTGGGGGCTGTTTCAAAAGAAAATTGTAAGAATTTATACACTCAAAGGAAAAGGATAATTTGTTTAAATTTACAAATTAAAAAATTGTTCTATTTGTTTAACATGTTTAAAACAATTTATTAAGATAGGACTTTTCTGTAAATCAAACAACTAAAACCAACGTTTGCGTTTCATAGATATAAAAGAGGCAATTCGTCTGCAGAAACCTTAGCTTATTAGCTTAGATTATTCAATTTCAAATCGGTATTTTTTATCTACGAGGGTTGTCTCAGAAAAATGCGAACATTTCTAATATCTTTTGTTTTACAAGGACTATAAAGTTAAAAATTGGGATGCATCATGATCAGCATTTTTTGAATAATGCCTAAAAATTTCAAAGAAATATCTTTATAAATAAAAGTCTCCTCGTATGTAAAGGAATCTATCGAATTAGCCGTCGGCGCAACACTGACAACGTCAAAACGTATCTCGTAGTGTTCACGAATTTTTTTACGAAAAGTGCGCCTCTATAAATATTCATTTATAGCACACATTAGGCAATGTGTTTCAGTATTTTTAGTTACCATGTTATGCATCTCAAATACTAGTGCTACTAAAAGATTTTGGGGGGGGGGGGGTTAATTCTCTCAACAGACAATTTTATAATCCCGATCATAAACCCACCTGATCGAATTATTTAACAGCGGTATTCACGTAGGCCTATGACGTCCCACTCTTGTCTTTTCAGTTAGCAGTTATGTGCACATGTCTATTCTCTTTTATCAGGAAACCAGTCAAGTCAACCTAAACTTGACCTCTTCTACTAGATATAAACCTGTTCCCTATATTTTGTTTGTGTTCTGTCATTGTTAACATTTTTTTCTACATGCAGGAGACATATCACGCTCAACATGGTGTTGCTTGATAATTTGGTGCTCCGCATCACAGCTTAACGTCACCATTTTTGATAATGTCTAATTCAAAGCGCTTTGCTATATATCGTCATATATTTGTCATTAATGATGCCATATAAATAAAATTTTAAACATAAGTAGACCAAATCATAGAGTATAAATATGATTGTAAAAATTTTGATATTATATTGCCATATAGCCTGATAACTACGAAAACTTCAATCAGAATGCTATTTGTAAAAGTCAAAAAATTATCGTGCGCCGACCATCGATATTTAACATCATTTAAATGCCGTTTTTATATGCATATGACATCACATGCCTATAATATTTTGTCAGAACATCTAAAAGATTATTTCCCAACACCTTGCCAAAAATTATTGGTTTTGGATGAATAGTATTTAAAATATTCAAAAAGTTCGCGTTTTTCTGGGACAACCCTCGTATTTGAGCTTAAATATCGGTAATATACATCATATATCTACAACTGATATCGTATTATTATTTCAGACAGCTGATATAGAACTTTAAGAATTAATACTGAAATATTTCCTGCCATACAACCAGGGAACGTAGCTATCGTTATTAAAAAGGGAACCAAAAAATCAAATTATCTGAGGAATAACAAAAATATTTAAAAGCTACGTACTCCGATACTTTGATTACGGGGACATAAAAAAAAAAACAAAGCAAAATTAACCTAATTTACATGTTTTATTTGGGTGATAATTCTTCACTATTTTCAAACTTTCCGTTTTAAAATGTTAAGGACAAGTAATATAAAAAATACGGGGAAAAAATCACTGACAGAATTTTTTTACAGCGAAAGGACCTGTTCCTCCTTAACACAGATCTGCGTTTTCAAGGCAGTGTGTTTCTAGAGGGTGCAATTGAATGCCCCCCCCCCCCTTAGATCCGCGCGTCACGTAAAAATATGTAAATATTATGTTCATGATACATGCATTGTGTATAGACAAGGGGTAATACTTCCTGTTTTCTGCTGAAGGAATATATGTGACACACATTATCTGGCCGTCGAACTAGTGGGCTGCCGGACTATCGGACCGTTGGATTACCGGACTATCGGAATACTGAGCGATCACCGAACCGGTTCATTATTGTAGGCTACATGAGAACGAATTCAATGTACACCGTCTACGCGCAGACGTAACAAACGGATGGGTGTGCCATCGAAATACTAGATCTAGATCTACTCAGTACTCCGACTATCTGGTAATGATATTATACAAATATGGACTCAATGTAGGTCAATATGCATTTATAATGACCCAGGATGACAGATATTGACCTCAGATACATGTAGTATATCGACCGAGGGCGCTAGCCCGAGGTCGATATACTTCATGTATCTGAGGTCAATATCTGTCATCCTGGGTCACTATAAATGCATATTGACTGTGCACTGAGTCCATATTTATTATATTATATAAATGGTAATTTCCCAAATTCATTAGTTCAATGTTTATCTTCCTACTGTTAACAGAAATAGTATCAACCATAAATAAGTTAATATAAATGTTTCAAAATTCAGAGGAAATTGTTTCGGTAATAAATTTTAACCCATATCATAATAATAACGCAAGATATCTATCTCCGAATAACACAGAGTACGCTCTCCCTCAGATTGAGAATCGCCAATGATTCGCTCTCGTTTACACTTGCAGAGAAAATGCACTGACAAAATATATATAAATACCTATGTCTTCTAAGATAAGACACAATCTTACATGGCATGCTTGTCTTTATTTCTTTAGTCTCCGCATAGACATGAATCGTCTCCGTGATCGTGAAAACTAAACAGCGTCAAAACCATGCTCGCCGAGTGGAAAATCGAACTAACCATATTATATATAATATTCAGAGATATCCCTGTGATTGTTTTGTATATATTATCAGCTTTAGAGTTCTTCACTATATCTTTTAAATTTTCCTCACCTACAACTTGCGAACTTCCATGTTTGTCTAAAGCGAAAGTGAAAACGAGGCAGCTCGTGCAAGTCATTATTCGCTTTCAGCGGTCGTTATTAAAAAATAAGTACTTCGTATTAACCAATCAGATTACCGGATTTCACAAAGTTATATAATATAAATCCATAATATTAGGCGGACTAATACTAAATTAATTATATGGTATGTTTCGCTTTGTTTGCAAAAATGAATATGTCATGAACAAATGATTTTCTTTAGGCAAAGTATCACCGAGTTTCCACACTTCCTCATCATAATCAGGTCAGACTCGATCTCTCTTTGATTGTTTCATACAGTTCGAGAGTTTTCTATTAGGCCTATACAACAGGTACAATAACAATATAACACATTACAGTTATTGTGTAGTAGAAAACTAGCCTACTGCATGGAAGTTAAAACAAACGCCTGTGTGATATAGCTTGATTTCTCATATAGCTGCAGATCTGTAGCTCTCCAAAAAAAATTATTGATAGACCGGAGAGCTACAGTGCCACCCATTAAAAACTGTATATTTATTGCGCACAAAAAGTGCGCTCGGTTGTTGATTAATTCCTCCAAATTCTTACCTAAATTGCATAAAATGGAAGATTTTAGAAAAATCCCCTGTCCTTCATCAAGTACTTTCGTTGTTGCCATCTGAACGAAGCATATTGGACCGAATTATCTTTGAAACCAAAATGGCAGTATAAATAAGCGAACTGTTCGATGATTACAATATCAGTGCCAGAAGGACTATTAACGGCAATTATGAGGGATGTTTTGTTATGGAAAGAGTAAAAAAATATGTTAGGAACACACGGTTAGTAATATTTTAAGATTACAGTTTAAAAACATGGAGAGATAAACCGAGAACCGAGCTCACTTTTTGTGCGCAATAAATATACAGTTTTTTTTCAATTGGTGGCACTGTAGCTCTCGGGTCTATCAATATTTTTTCGGAGAGCTACAGATCTGCAGCTAGATTTCTCAGTGAATATTAATTTCAGGTTTTTCTTGTACATTAAGTAAGGTAGTTGGTACTTTAAAATTCCAGACACACCCCCCTCCTGTAAACTTCTCAATACTGAAATGATTTCTGATTTATTTCCCAGCCAATGTGCTCAGGTGAGCAATGTGGCCCATGTGCCTCTTGTTAAGATTTAAAATATATTAAAGGTAGATGAGTTCAACTAATTAATAGATTCTATATATTTTCATTATGTGTAATAACGTTAAAAGTTTCATGTAAATGAAAAAAAATGAAATATTTTACATGTAGCCTTCTTCGGTTTTACATTCACAAAGCATGTTATAAGGTTGTATGTTATGTGATACTTTTGATGTACGCCTTTGAAGATATTCTTAACATAAGAGTTATCATGGAATAAATCATGCCATTTAATTATTTTGATAGATTCCACAAGATGTAGAGTGCAAATTTGGAAAAGAAAATGATGGTTTTTCCATTGTAATGTAATCATGTTTTCCTATTCTAGAAGTTCATGAGGCTATAAAGTACATGTACATGATACTTTAAACTTAACTGCGGAAATTTTCCATGAATTTTTTTGAACTGTCGAAAGTGGAAAAAAAAACCCACAAAACATATTGTAACATCAAAATAGAAAATCATTATTTGTACCGATGCATGTACACCTGCACTGTTATACAAGTCCATTATACATTATATATTCCTATGTAGAGGTGATTCTGAAGTTGCTGTTACAATTTCCCAGAATGTGCTGTAGTTTTAAGGGAAGAAAAATGTCACCTCCACACAGGTTTGTTTACCACATGTTAATGTTCATAAACTATAAAAGTACAGCCAGCAAAAATTAATTTTTTGTTTCTCAGGCCAAAATGTTCAAAATTTAATGTAGAAGGCATAAGGAAGGAATAATGTCCTTTGACCTCTAAGAGATAATACAAGACTTGTATATCAAAATGAAGATGAAATAAAGTCAATTCATTGAATACATGTTTATTTAGAATGAAAAATTAAAATGTTTTTTTTCTTTCACCAGGGCCTAAGGACACAAACCAAGAGGAATAGAAACATCGCCGTTGTTACAAGACACAAGAAATCTGTGTGGTATACATTTCTCTGTTACTTTATATAACTGTACAGTTGTTACAAGACACAAGAGATCAGTGTGGAATACATTTCTCTGTTACTTTATATAACGGTGTACCAACACACTGTAGATCATACCAGTATCTATAGAGTGTGGTACATCGTCACAAATATCTACATTTAATACTGCACATTGTTGTTACTTTATAAATTGATATTTGAATTAAAAGAAAAGTTTTTTAAAACTGTAATATATTTATTTAAAGTAAAGGTGCAATTTGTAAATTTGTATATAAAGTTTATTTATAAAGAAGTGGAACTATTTGAAGTCAAGTTTACATTTAAAATATTTTGTATTTCATGCACTGTAGAAGAATTTTGAATGACTGCTCTATTTCTTTTTTTGAAGTTTTAATCTTTAAATGATGATTTTAAAACAGACTTCACTGTGAGTACAAGGACCTTGCTATACAAAGAAAAAAAGAATTAAGCACTAAGTATCAAGGTATTTACAGTATGTATGTCTGTGTTTTAATATTATTGTGTGCTTTAAGTTCTAAAAATCAAAACTTTAATATAAATACATGTTATTCACTGAGTACATTGTAAATAGAAGCATATTACTGATGTAGATAATTCTGGTACAATGTTGTAATTTACAGAGAAATCTCCCTGACTGAGGAAATCCAAACAGGATTCTGTTATAAAACATCAGGATAAAGAAATAGATGTCTGCTGTAAATAATGTATAGAGGAGTGTTACAGAAATCTGTCAGAGTGTCTGGTGTTATTCATGGTTATCACATTTCACGTGTGTCAACAGACCGGGTCTGGATCACTGATCATGACAATCTTATACTGACAAACACCAAAGGGGAAGAACTAAATCATGTTACAGGTATAGGTAGTTTTGCGGGAGGACACAGTGTGAATTCTAACGGTGATTTAATTTATATAGACAGTCGATATAACATCATTAAACTGTCTATAGAGAACAAAGTCAAGACTACGATAATAAAGTACAACAACACGTCACCATGGAGACAAGAGAGTGTCTACAGCTCCCCCTCCACTGGAGACCTGCTGGTCGGGATGTATAGGTATAGAGACTGATACATGGCCATTTACAGGCCAGGTAGTGCGGTATAACTCCACAGGAGAAAACATCCAGACCATAGAGCACGACAACATCACAGGTCAAGGACTGTATGGTGAACCTAGATACATCACAGAGAACCGTAATGGAGATGTTATTGTGTCTGACTGGGGCCGTGTAGTGGTGACAGATCGTGACGGTAATTACCGATTCTCCTACACAGGTCCTCAATCAGGATCAGTACTAGCACCACTAGGAATCTGTACTGACGCGCTGTCACACATCCTGGTGTGTGATAATCACACCAAGACAGTACAGATGTTAGATAGTGATGGTCACTATCTGACAAAGATACAGACACGACAACACGGGATATACAAACCATGGGGCCTGAGTTATGATGATGTCACTCACCTACTGTGGGTAGGGGCATACGAAAACAACACAGTCAACATATACAGAGTTGTAGATACAGACTCTCTGACTGGTAAGTAACACTGTAGTCTGTTTTATTGTATTGTATAATTATTATAATACCTATACTAAATAACTATATTATGATAGACAGATCATTTTTGAATAACTTTAGATGAATGTATTTAAGTGTTTATTTACAAGTCTAATATAAATGATTGCTCATTGAATAAACAACAAATATAAGCTGTTAAAGATGAAGTTTTTGACTACAAATATGATCAATAGATTAAAAAGAAATAGTAGATTTACATCTAGTCTGTAATTAATTGTAAGATGCTGTGTGTAACTCTTCAATCACTGATTCATACATGTATATACATGAATCTTATGTCAAACTTTTTTGTAAATTTTTTTCAGAACCATCTTATGGTACATTCATACATCTATATATTTGTTTGACAGATAGGTTTTGAATTATAGATGTACCGTATATACTCGCCTACATGTATAAGTCGTTTTTTTTTGGAGTCAATATCTGGTCCAAAACTCTGTATCCGACTTATAGGCGAGGTATCAAAACAATGGTATTATATGAGGTCAGTCCTTCTGAAATATAAGCTAATTAAATACAACCGACTTATAGGCGGACCGACTTATAGGCGAGTATATACGGTACGTACCATATACTGTCTTTGGAGTAATAATCAACTTTTGAAATTTTGTGCAGTTTTGTTCAATAAATACATTTGGTGTAGTATGACCAGTTTTGAGAAATAGCAGATGGAATTTTCAGCTCATCTGAGCCGAAGGCTCAAGTGAGCTTTTCTGATCACATTTTGTCTGTAGTCCGTCTGTCTGTCTGTCTGTAAACTTTTCAAATCTTCATCTTCTTCTCAAGACAATTTCAACCAAACTTGCCACAAAGCATTCTTGGATGAAGGGGATTCAAGTTTGTTCAAATAAGGGACCACGTCCTCATTCAAGGGGAGATGATTGGGAATTAATAAAAATTTGGTGGTATGTTTTGAAAATCATCTTCTCAAGAACCACTGTGTCAGGAAGAATGAAACTTATATGAAAGCATCCTCAGGTAGTGTAGATTCAAATTTGTTCGTATCATGACCCCCGGGGGTAGGGCGGGGCCACAATGGCCGACCAAAGTTTTACATAGAAATATATAGGAAAATTCTTTAAAAATCTTCTTCTCAAGAACCACTGTGCCAGGAAAGATGAAACTTATATAGAAGCATGCTCAGGTAGTGTAAATTCAAGTTTGTTCAAATCATGACCCCTGGGGGTAGGGCGGGGCCACAATGGCCGACCAAATTTTCACATAGAAATATATAGGAAAATTCTTTAAAATCTTCTTCTCAAGAATTACATGTACAAAGCAATAATTGATCATATTTATACGGAAGCATCCTCAGGTAGTGTAGATTCAAGTTTGTTCAAATAATGACCCCTGGGGGTAGGGCGAGGCCACAATGGCCGACCAAAGTTTTACATAGAAATATATAGGAAAATTCTTTAAAAATCTTCTTCTCAAGAACCACTGTGCCAGGAAGGATGAAACTTATATGGAAGCATACTCAGGTAGTGTAAATTCAAGTTTGTTCAAATCATGACCCCTGGGGGTAGGGCGGGGCCACAATGGCCGACCAAAGTTTCACATAGAAATATATAGGAAAATTCTTTAAAATCTTCTTCTCAAGAATAACAAAGCCATAATTGATCATACTTGAATGGAAGCATCCTACAGTAGTGTAGATTAAAGTTTGTTCAAATCATGACCCCCAGGGGTAGGGCGGGGCCATAATGGCCATCCAAAGTTTTACATAGAAAAATATAAGAAAATTCTTTAAAAATCTTCTTCTCAAGAATAGCAAAGCCATCATTGGTCATGGTACTACTTTTGGATTTAAACTTTCAATAATAAACCAATTTCTACTTTTTCCTAGCCACAGTGCTCAGGTGAGCGATGTTGCACATGGGCCTCTTGATTTTAAATACTTACAAAATCCTAAATAATGTATTCAGTTTAAGTAATTTTACCTTCAGACGAGATTACAATTTGTACTGATGTTGACAGTTAGATATAGACATCATTGATAACCCAGCTCTGTCTAGGAATGTTGTGTATTTCACTAGCAGGAAATCTACATTGTGTACTGGGTTGACATTTTGTATGAGAAAATTCTAGATGTCTGATGGAATATGGAGATAACCAACATTATTCAAGCTTCAAGTCCACACTGATGTTTAAGATTCATTTCATTTTTATGAACAAAAAAAAAATATTTCTTAGACACTATAGAATAAGCATGAATGCAACTGCATTGAATAATTTAAGTAACTTGCTAATGAAAGGGAGACAATTCAATTTTGTACTTGAAAGTAAAGAAAAAATTAAGTTACCTCCCTTTTCATTATAAAAGTTTTAAAATTAAATAATTCCTGTTAAAAACAACTTAATCTCTTGCTTTGTTTCAAAAAAGTTGATCAATGAAACTAAAAATATAATTTCATTGTTACTGCCTGTATCAAATGTAAGTACAAGATATGGTAAAGGAGGAAATACTTTATATTTATCATTAGATTTATTCTGTCAATTTGTAACCCTATGTATCCCAACCACATGAATTTAAGCATGTTAAGAGACTGGAAGCCCTTAGATGATAATGCACTGTTTTCATTTTTACCCTGTTATAAGCATTAGAGGTCACTGACAGAGATATGTAGGGTTGATTTCTGTGGTTTACGTGGTCACTGAACTACGTGTTGATGCTTAGAGAAGGGGGTGGGTAATATATGATATGTCTGTACTATTATGTCAGTATTTTCTCATTATTGCAAACTCATATGACCTATTTCAATTTATGAGAAAATTTTTGGATTGTTTTCATTTATAATTTACATCCATTGTCCAACCACATATATGTTTGTATTCAGTGAATTTTCAATGGAGTTATGCCTTAGGAAGGCATATTATAACTCTAAATAAAGGTCATGTGAGTATAGCTTAGGTCATCAGTACTTAGCTTAAAGACATTTTGATGCAACTTGTGTTGATTATGAAAGTTTTTTTGGAAACAAGCAATTTAACATTGATTGGTCAACTATATGTGATAATTTAAAATGTCATCATTTGATCTGAGGTGATTTGAGACCCAAAGAACATTAGGTTAGCAAGTTAAAGAACATCATCTTGTAGTAATACTAAAAGAGCCCCTATAAAATTATACATGTAATAATTTTGAAATAGAGATAATTGTGGAGGATGCATTAATCATTGATAGCAGTCATTAATGACCCTTTATCCCTTATGATATTTTTATATTGTTATAATGATGATAATATTGGAAACAAGAAATCCCCATACATAATCATTTGAGATCATAAATAAACGATGTTTTATCAGAACAAAATTTTCTCCCTTAGTATTTATAGGCATAATGAAAATCACAAATGGTTATAAATATCAAAATTTGATTCTAAATTTTCTTGGACTCAAAACATTTTAACTACTCCGATATCATAAATATTTTGACTTTTTTATATAGGAGTACCAAAATGACATTGTTTTGTGAAAATTAATCAGGATTTTTTAAAAGTATTTACAATATATATAAGACTATTTTTTTGAACAGGACTCCCTCTGGAAGACGTCAAATGTAGAAAACATCCCAAAATTCCCCTGGACCAGTTCTGTACCCCGTGTGGTGTTCCCTTGTGTGTGGAGTGTACCAACTCTGAGGATCACAGCAGACATCAACTTACAGATATAGAGACATTGTTTGACAACATTCACAGGATAGAGGGTAATAGTTTCCTTAAAGCTGAACACAATTCGTAAAAGAAATGTGTCCACCATTTTGCTCCCGATTCTCACTACTCTGCAGACTCCTATAAATAGGGCAAAACTTGGTCACTGTTTAGTGTAATCAGTTGATACCAATGTAAACGGACGTATACTATGCAGCACTCGGTAGTGAGAACAATAGAGTAACACTTCATCTAATGCAGGAAAGTAAGATACCAAAAAACGAATAAATTTACAATTATAGTTGTACGGGTCAGTGTATTATACAAACAAAAAAGATAAATGTAACTGCAATAAAATATAAACAAATGTAATGCAAGATATCCAGCAAGAACACGGGTCGCCATTGCACGCCATTACCCATTACAATAAAGCAGTCAGGTGTAAAGATTGCGACGAGTATACCCTAGTGTTGAGGTATTGTAGATAATGTTATTGAAAATGGCCTATTTACAAGTCGTGTTCAGCTTTAAGTTTTTATAGACTCAAAAAAAAAAGAAAAAAAAAGAAACGCATATTCAGATTAAATATGAAAATCGGAGCTTTCACTTTTAATTAATATTTTTTTTATGAAAAGTAATTTTAAAGTGTGTTGTGATAAAAATCAAACATGTCCAATGTTACAAATTGAAAAGTCACTTTGATGTCATTTTCATCACCACCAAATTCAATGCGCATAATAATATTTACTGTGTGACGTCTCAGTGCTAGTGGGTTTCCAATGTACGGTTGTCGTGGACGAATACCAGCTACTCTCAGTCTCTTATGAACAATTTGTGAACTTTTTTGCTGATTTCTTCAACCAGCAATTGTAGCAGCAGTTTGTACAGCAGTTCTCAATCGATTGCTGAAGGGGGGTTGGTTGGTCTGACGGTCCTGTCTGGGTGTGGTAATCCGTTGAAGGACAGTTCTTGGTCTGTTATCCGTGTTCTTAGCTGATGGAGACGTACGTTAAACCGCTGCAAAGCCGATTGATATACACTAAATGCAGTTGCAACCTCCTGTTGTGTAGCTCTGGTTGCTATCATAGTTAGCCCGTGTTGCGTTCACCTTTGTAAAGTTGTGACATTGCAACTTCAACATTATCATAAAATCTTAAATATGGGTTCAATAGGATTGTTTATTGTTGCTCTAAATCCAAAATATCAATGAAAATAGTTTACAAGAAATAATGAAAAAAACTATTTTCATAAACATGTCTATTCAAAGGAAATAACTATTTTGGTTTAGAACCCCATGTTGTCCTTAACATATATCACAGGTATGCAATGAAAAAGAAAAAGTAGTTGTTCCATATACTTTTTTTCAAAATTTCTTTGATGAGTGAAACAATATGTGTTTCTTTTTTTTTTTGTTGAGTATATATGTAGCAAATGTAGAAATTGAAATATATTTTAGATAATTGAGTATCATTCTGCTTAAATTATCAAATCAGATATTTATTACTAACAATGACCTTTTAATGATCTGAGCCAAACACAAAGTTGAAATGAATAATCTGATGATCAAAGATTCCAGGTCATCCATTAAATTGCCTGCCATCTTGCCTGTAGGTTTGTCTTTAATCATATATTGGAAGGTATATAAAATCACCTTGTCTATTTATCTGTCTAGTTGTACATTTGTTTGTCTGTCATGCCAAGACCAAAACTTCATAATCGGAAAACACAGAACTGAAAGCTAGCATATACTGGGTACAATTATAATGTGTGTTGACCTTTACGTTACCTTTAGCAAGTTCAAGGCTACAAATCACTTCAATCAAATTCTTGAATATTAACCATAATATACATTTAATATGATGAAGGACTTTACTGATTTACATTTGAAGGAACTTTTGTACATAGGTTAAACTGTGTTATGTGGATGTCCAACATGCCCTTTCAAACACTTAAATCAATGTAAGGAAATCTGTTATTGGTTTAATGCTGATATAAATAGATGGGAAGATTACTCCATTCTGTTTAACAATTTTAATAGCCAGTGATTTTAATACATTCAAGGTGTTTTCCGAGCTTGTATATCTGTATATATTTATTGTTTATTTTGTAGTTGGAGATACACTATTGATGAGCCTTCTTCTTTCCGATTCCTACAAAATAAACATGAAAGAAGGAAGCTGGATGACCAAATATAATGCTGTTGCCCAAAGTTTTCACTCAAAGAAAATCACAAAGCCATTTGTTCTTACAGATTTTGAAAATTACAGACCAATTCTGAAACTCAATGAATCAGAGATAAGTTTTTCCACTGAGCTCTTCAAGTACATTACTTTCCTGAAAATTTCAAAGCGTTTTGGATTGAACTTTACTGATATTTTCTTGACTTGTGCAGAAAAAGAAAATATTTCTGAGTTCTGTAGATCATGGAATTATCGGAGAGGAGAGAATGAAGTTTGCTGTTGGTTGCTGCCAGAAAAAAATGAGGAGTTTTTAAAAAGACTTGGAGAAGATATTTTCACACACCCAACAATGGAGGACCATTCATTCCATGTAGCCGTATTTAGAAAATGTAAGTCTATTTCTATCTCACCTGAACTATTTAATTAGATAAAGTTTACGCTGTGGATACTAAAAATACAAATTTATGTGAAATACATTCAAAATGCTACTCCTATAGTTTTGCTTTAATTTCAGTGTCACTTGACATGCAAATAGATCTTTTTCGCATCATCAGAGGCTTCTAGCTATGATTGTTTGTCGGCATGAGTTTGACTCCGTCACAGCTTTGTAACGTTAGAGTTTTGTCATTATAGTTGGAATACCAATGCAGATTATCCTAAGGGGAGACAAATCAGTGACGAATTTCATTGAAAATTTAAAGAAAGGGAAGAAAACCATGTACCATGCCTCTGGGATGATAATAGGGTGTGCTGGTAGTGGAAAAACCACATTGTTAGAGAGACTGAAGGGCATTGACCTTGAAGAAATAAAGAAAAACATAAGGTCAACTAGAGGAATCGATATCCACTCAGATGTCTTTGATGTGACAGAAAGCATCCAAGGTAGTTTTAGCTCACCTGAGCTGATGGCTGATCACATTTTGTTCATTGCTCGACTACCTGTCCGTCTGTTTGTAATTTTTTCACATTTTTGACTTCTCCTCAAAAGCGACTTGGCCAATTTTAACCAAACTTGGTACATAGCATCCTTGGGTGAAGAGGATTTTCAATTCTTAAAATGACTGACCAAATCCTCTCACACGGTGAGACAAACAAGAAAAGACACAAATAGGGTGGAGTCATTAAAAGATCTTCTCAAGAACCACAGGGCAACATAAGCTGAATTGTATGTGGAGGCACCATATCCCCTCCTTATCTTCTTGGAAAGTATGATATGTAAGAGCGTTGAGAGTGTCCTCCTATCCATCCTTCCATCTGTCCATTTATTACGTTTTGGGGTATCCATCTCTTATCTGCAACTCCTCATTACCGCTTAACCACTGAAAAAAACTGTTACTACTTAATAAAATTAATGAAACTTTCACAGAATCTTTGTTATACAGAGAAATTTTAAACATTCTGTTTTACTCTTTGAATGGACACATGTTTATGGTTTCCTAATGCAAAACATAAAAACTACCATTATATTGGTGGTACCCATCTCATATTTGCAATTCCACCTGTACAAATGAATAAAATGAAATGACACTTTTACATAATATTTACTATAAAATAAAATTTATGCCATTCCTACATCCTTCTTTATGTTAAGATTGGACAGATATTTGGTTCTTCAATAGTAAAACAAAGAATTCACCATAATACTCATATGGAACCTGCCTGGGGATATCATTTTGGGAGTTCAATACTTTCATTGTCCCTAGAATTTATTTTTTAAGTTGCAGATTTATGTAAAGTAGAATAATAGTCTGTTTGCTTAAAGTACAGAAACAACAAAGTGAGAAGGTGTTAAATGTGCATTAATTTTCATTTACAGCAAATACTTCAAGCCAAAAGCAACACTTTAAACTCAGACTTGATAAAAGAGATATGAAGCAGAGTGTTCCTAATTACCATTCAGAAAATGAAGCTGATGATGAGAAAATACAGGAAAAGATGGAACCAGAAGATGTTGAGGGCAGTATGACTGAAGCATCAAACAGTGGACAGATATCACATGATGATACCAACATTAAAACTACTTCATCCCATGAACCACAGGGGGCCACATCACCAGAAAATGTAGCAGATGTTATGAAGGAAAGAAAAGATATTCGTCATAGTCCAGAAATTTCTGGAAATTTACAGATAGGTGCAGAAGATATTTCAGAAGATCCAGATAAAAAAATAACCATGACTGACTTTGCAGGACAGTGTTCATATTATGCCTCACACCAGATTTTTCTGAGTCCTCGGGCGTTCTTCATTCTTGTGCTGAATATGGAGAAGAAGTTCGATGATAAGGTTGGTGAAGAAGTGTGTTGTCAGGAAGGCTCCATTTACGGGGGATGGACACACAGAGGTAGTTCATGTATTTTAATTATTATATGCATGGCCTAAAAGGACCACCACATCAGATAAAAATTTATTGCATTGATAAATGTAATTGACATACTAAAAAGGAAATAATTAAGTTTTCCCTATTTTCAGAACCTGTCTGCCTTACTGAATTTTGAAACTTTAGACCTATGAAACGTTTATCCTAAATGAGAATCATTTTTTATTTGGTTTGCCCTTCTCTGCAGCCTTATGAAGGCAATAAGTTTGTTACATGTATACCCCGTCTTGTAAATAGCTCTTACATATATAGTTTTTCATTTACGTCTTCCATCATTTCCTGCAATCTACCTCAAAGAAAACTCTTACAGCTGAATGTATCTTTGGTTTTCAGATTATCTTGAGTTCTGGATGAAGTCCATCCACCAATATGGCGGTGATAAAGCTCCTGTCATCCTGGTTGGTACACATTGTGAGAACAAAACAGAAAAGGTATCATTTTTAAATACTGTTATTTATTATTTACACAGATATTTTACTTTGACATGGTTTTTCTGATCTCTAACTATTTAATATAATATATACGGGTATATATGTGTTTCATAAACTCTGTGGGAACAAAACAATAACGATCATTGTATGATTATGAACATTATTAGCTCACCTGAGCTGAATGCTCAAGTGAGCTTTTCTGATCAAAATTTGTCCTCCGTCTGTCGTCGTTGTCGTTGTTGTCGTTGATGTAATCTTTTCACATTTTCAATTTCCAGTCAAGAACCACTGAGCCGATTTCAACCAAACTTGCCACAAAGTATCCTTAGGTAAAGGGGATTCAAGTTCGTTCAAATGAAGAGCCACGCCCTTTTCTTAGGGGAGATAATTATGAATTAGTGAAAAATTAATGACATTTTTAAAAAATCTTCTTCTCAAGAACCACTGGGCCAAGAAAGATAACGAACAGTATTCAGTCTCAAAGTCCATAAAACAATAAAAATCAAGAGCGGAGCAAACACGGACCTCCCATACATCAGAGGTGGGATCCGGTGCCAAGGGATGAGTGAGCATACCCTGCTGACCGGTCACACCCGCCCTGTGCTCCTTGTCATGATCGTGAAATAACGGAAAAATCCGTCGTCCATTCAGTGTATAAATAATGGACAAATAATTGTTTTGAAAAACATTCAGTCAGCATTTGACTCAATGATAAACTGTATTTGCTGACAAGGTCATTGTATCTACCATAGAACTTACGAAATGATGTCGAAAAGACTGCTGATATTCTTTTTTCATCATTTTGCTTGTCAATAATTTACCTCGTTTTAGAAATTGTTCATACGTAGAGCATGCTCTTGCGTATCCAATCTATTGAGTGTCATATACACTCTGTATGCAGTATCATTTAATAAATGTTGGAAAAGGTTAGACAGAAGTTATGAGAAAACGTTAAATGTTCAAAATAATGTCGCTTATAAACGTGTATAAATATTTCTACAATATATACTTCGCACTAACAATCCCAAGAAAAATTTGGGGTATACAGCCCGCGTACAACAAGTTGCATACACCCCGGACACAACATAGTTTTTTCGTCAATATCTTTATATATGAGCTGTCTTATTAACAGATAATTTGTACAAACATTTATCTAGCAATCATGTATTTAACAATACTATAAAGGGGATGATAAAGCAAAGCTTTCTTCAGATATTTGATTATAAACACAGTGTTGCGTCAATCTTGCTCCGATCCTCGGAATTGTGTTGAGGTGTTTGATAAAACTAGAAGAATTCCAGTGGATTCATAGATATCCATATACTCCTCAAATAATGCTTTCTTCCATAGGCATATGCTTTCTGGCGAAAAATATCCGTAAGTTGAGAAAATGGACAAAGAATCTACATTGACCCCCTTTCTCTCGCTTCGGAAGCATACACCCCGCGCACATTATAGTATACACCCCGCATGTTGGGATATATACGGTGCATATGCTGTATTAATATGAAGGTATTTTAAAGTTATATATATTAAATTCAAGCCCCCCCCCCCTCCCCCTCTTCAGTAAACTTTTCACTTCTGATCTGATTTGTGTTTTTTCCTAGCCGATTTGAAGTGAGCGATGTGGCCTTTGGGCCTTTTGTTTTACTACGACTAATTTGTTAGCATAAAATAAAATAAGGATTTTGTTTTCGTTAGGAAAAAGAACTGTTTTTCCGAGAAGTATGGAAGACTCTTGACATGAAGAAGAAGTCTTTACAAAAACATATTGATGTGAAACGGCGATTTGCGGTCGGATTCCATGACAATGAAAGCATTGAAAAACTTAAGCTATCCATTGCTGATGTTGTGTGCAAGCTCGATCACTGGGGTGAGGAGCTTCCACAGTCATGGGCTATGTTTGAAACATTCTTTCTGGAAAAGAAAATTCGCAAGATTTTGAGTACGGTTGAACTTCAGTCTTTTAATGAAACATTGCCTGAGGGAATAAAGCTCCAAACTACTGAAGATATGGATGCCATGCTGCAGTTCTTCCATGACATTAGAGAACTTATGCACTTCAATCAACAATTCCTCAATAAAGTTATTATCCTCGATGTTCAGTGGTTTGCAGATGCCTTTAGAAATGTCATAACAGATAAAAACCATGCAAAAGAAGATTTATTTGAATATGCCTCAGAATGGGACAAATTCAATGAAACTGGAGAGTTAGATGAAGCACTATTATGTGCCATATGGAGAATGAACAACAATGGTTACCTTGAGCACAAAGAGGATATCATGATGTACATGGAGAAGTTAGGACTCTTAGCTAAAATGAGCGACAAAACATGGTATGTCCCATGTATGAACCAGATGCAATTTCCAGTAGACTGCTTCTCGTCATACCCTGCCTCCTCCATCCTTTGTTACACATTTGATGTTCTTCCTGTAGAAATTTTCCATCGCCTTGTAGCAACTTGCATGCAGATTCCTTGGGAGATTTTTACAGATGAAGACAGAAATTGCATTTACCAGACAGCAGCTATTTTTGTATATGAACAGCATTATAACATCATGCTTGGAATGACACAAACAGAAATTCAGCTGCAAGTGTTTGTTGTGGAGGGAGAAGTTGATGTTTCAAAATGTCAACAGATTAGAGAAAACATTGAGCGTATATTAGATAATCTTTCCAATACATTCCAGAAAAACTCAGAATTTCAGGTTGGGTTTAAATGCAAGCCTTCTGGGTTTTGTAACAGGAAAGAAAGTGCTGTCATAAAAGAATCAATGTTTGCAAGAGCAGGTTTTCAATGTCCTTCCTGTCCAGCAAACAAGAAGCATACTATCAACACAAAAGACATCACAAAATATTGGAAACAGGTACACCAGAATATTATTAATTTCATAAATATACAGATTATTTCACACGATTTTAGAATAATGTAATTTAGATTTTGTCGTTGATATTTTTTTTTTGTATAATGTATTACTATTCAGAAAATAATTAATGTAATCCATTTTATGGCCTGTTTAAATGATTCTGACATCAACTTGTTTGGAAATGGAAAATTCTTATTTCTCTCTTTAAAAATGTAAATTACAAAAGAGTCTATAATTATTTTTAATATACATCTATTTCTATTTATAAAACAGGACGCACAGTCTGAACGTGGAACCAATGAAGACACTGGAACAAATCCCTGTACGTATAACATTCATATTAATCATTTATATCCATAAAGTACTTGTACTAAACTGAATCTTCAGAAGTTCAATGAAAAAAGAGAATAAAAAAAGAAAAATTGAGGATATGGAGATGAGGAACAGTTTTCAATATCAAAATTCTTAAACAATACAAAATAGGATTAGAGCAATCACAAACCTGAAAAACCTGAAAAAAAGGAAATTAGGGAAACACTATGCAGCAAACATTGATACCAATGCAATTGGCTGATCTGTCTTACCAATTGGAGTTGTGACAGAGCAACAATATGGAATCATTATTAACAGTGAATATAAAGGAACATTTTTACAAATCTTCTCAAGAACCTATTGGTAAGAAAAGCATAAACATATGTGCTTATGTGACAGTTTTCTTGTAGATTCTAAGGGGTTAGGGCAGGGCTTGCAACAGGGAATCAATTATTTTACATTCAGGACGAAGATGTTTGACAGTGTCTCGTCAGTTGAAACCCTTGTTACAACAAGGTATGTAATAACATCACAAGATGTAATACACTGTGATTACCGTATAAGTAGAATTTTAGCGTGGATTTAATTTTGGCATTATTAGCAAGGGTCATGAGATCGCTAAATTTAAATAGCGCTAAATATTTATTGCACTTTTTTGTAAAAGCTGCTTTAGTAAGCATTTTAAAATCGCTAAAGATAAATCTCACTAAAAATGAATTACCAATTTTTTTTAAGGAGAAATCGCTTAATTTCCGTCTCGCTAAATTTTCTTCTTATACGGTATTACATTTTGCTTTGTTCTCAATGCGAACTGTAATAATTAACGCAAAATGTGATGGAATGATTCTGTGATTATTACATTTGGCGTTTATAAATTTTGCATAGAGATCAACACGAAACGTAATAATGTACTTTTTGTGTTAATTAATACCATGGGAAAACTCACTCTACAAAATTGAACTATGAGAATTAGGTAACGTAAGGCCTCTTACAGACATTACTAGATCTAGCGGTGTCTTTCTAGGTCACCTGAGTAAACTCAGGTGACCTATTGCTATCCGTTTTCGTCCGTCGTCGTATGTCGTAAACTTTTGAACATTTTTAGTTTCTTCTCTAGAAAAACTGAACCAATTTTAACCAAATTTGGTATACAGCATCTATGGGTAAAATTGTGAATTTCATGGTCACTGCCCCATGGGGCCTGAGAGGTGGGGCCTAAACCATTAAAATAAATATAATATTTAAAAATCTTCTTCTTTACTCCTGGACGTCAAGCAGTCAAACTTTGACATAATTTTAAACATCATTGAGTCCTCTACCACAATTTTGAAATTCATGTCCCTTGGTTCAGGGGTTCTTGTGTTAAAGTGGGGCAATATAGATCATACAGTAAAAGTGCATTATTTCTTTGAAAATCTTCTCTGCTCCTGGGTATTAAATTGACTAACTTAGAACATAGTTACGATAACCAAGAGTGCTTCTTCAAGAATTGTAAATTTCATAGTCCCTGTGTTAGGGGTTCTGGAGTTAGAGTGGGGCTATATAGATCATATAGTGAAAGTGCATTATTTCTTTGAAAATCTTCTTCTCTGCTCCTGGGTATTAGATAAACTAACTAAGAACATAGTCATGATGACCAAGAGTGCCTCTTTAGAAATTGTGAATTTCATGGTCCCATGGTTAGGGGTTGATGTGTTAGGGTAGGGCTCTATTGATTGGTATAGTAAAAATACATTAATGCTTCAAAAACATTCTTCTCTGCTCTTCGGTATTAAACAAGCTAACTAAGTAAATAGTTAAGATAAACAAAAGTGAATTCTCACAAATTGTGAATTTTATGGCCCCAGGGTCAGGGGTTCTGGTGTAAGGTTGGGGCTCTATTGATTATGTGGTGAAAATCCAAAATAATGTTACTACATTGTTGTGTTATTACATTTTATCTTGATCTCGACGCAAAATGTAATAATTTTAAAATCGTATGGATTGTTGATCTTGACAGAAAATGTAATAAAGCAAACTGTAATAATCCTGAAAAGGTGTATTGTTGCAATTTGTGTGATCACATTTTGCCTTGATTTCGACATGAAATGTAATAAAGCAAAATGTATTAATCCAGGTGTATTACATTTTGCGTTGTTATTACATTTTGCTTTGTAACAAACCCTGCTCTGTTCGGACCATTTCATAATATCCGTGACTGTTATTGTAACATTTTGTTTGAAACTAACATTTTTCCTTAGTCACCTGTGACATGTCAGTTATGCTATTGTTATCTTTGAATTCTTACTAAAAAGTCGTTTAAAATTGTTTTTCAGGTTCAAAGCTAGAGAAGCCTGCTAGGCGTTTGATTTTTTATATGCATGTAGGAAAAAATTGAATTATACTATTAATTGTAGCTAAATTCAAGTGATATAATGCAAACCTTTTCTTCATGCAATGCAACATGTAGACTTGTACCAGTAGAACTTGTACATGCTGATTTTATAATTTATAAACAAACTATTTCTAGTTACATCCTAAAAACTGGTATTTATAGACTAAAAACGCAGGTTTTTTTGTGTTCAAATGAACTCAAAATAGTAATGACCAAGGGCCATAAAAAGATTGCCATTTGGAATGATGTCAATAACTCAGTGGTGCTGTGTTTGTTAAAGAAATAAAGTCTGTGTTTTCGTGAACCTCCAAGGTTTAGAGATGTTGTATGAAAGATAAAAGCTGAGGCATTCACGACAACAAGGACTTTATTTCTATTCTACTACGGCTGTAAAATACGATTGATCATTTCTCTATAGAGAAAAGTATTAGGTCACCATGCTTTAGTAGCGCTGTTCCATTTAGCGCCAGAGTGTAAATTTGTTTGTTAAGTTGTGAATAGAAGGCAGATGACTTGTGCTTTCGCCGCATCGAAATTAGCATTTTTAGGTCAACTGAGTTACTCAGGTGACCTATTGCTATCCGTTTTCGTCCGTCATGTGTCGTGTGCTAACATTTGAACATTTTCAGCTCTTCTCTGAAACTACTAAACCAATTTCAGCCAATTTTAACACAAAGCATCTATGGGTGAAGGGAAACAAAAATTGTTAAATTCATGACCCCTGCCCCCCTGAGGCCTGAGGGATGGGGCCAAAACCAATAAAATTGATGCAATCTCTGAAAATCTTCTTCTTTACTCCTGGACATCAAGCCGTCAAACTGTTGACATAATTTTAATCAACATTGAGCCCTTTATCATAATTGTGAAATTCATGGTCCCAGGGTCAGGGGTTCTGGAGTTAGGGCGGGGCTCTGTTGATCATATATTGAAAATGTAAAATTCTTAGAAATCTTCTTCTTTCCGCCTGTGAGTAAAGCAAATAAACTAGGTGCATGGTTATGATGATCAAGGTGCCTTTTTCAAAATTGTGAAACTTGTTGCCCTGGGGTGAAGAGTTTTGGGGTGGGGGTGTCTATATTGATTATGTACTGAAATTTGAACATTTTCAGCTTCTTCTCCGAAACTACAAAACCAATTTCAGCCAATTTTGGTACAAAACATCTATGTGTGAAGGGAAACAAATATTGTGAAATTCATGGCCCCTGTCCCCTTGGGGCCTGAGGGGTGGGGCCAAAACCACTAAAATTAGATCATTCTTTAAAAATCTCCTTCTTTACTCCTGGACATCAAGCAGGCAAACTGTTGACATAAATGTAATGAACATTGAGTCCTCTACCAAAATTGTGAAATTCATGGCCCCAGGGTCAGGGGTTCTAGTGCTAGGGCGGTGCTATATAGATTATATAGTGAAAATGCATGATTTCTTTGAAAATCTTCTTCTCTGCTCCTGGGTATGAAATAAACTAACCAAGCACATAGTTATGATGAGCAATAGTGCCTCTACCAAAATTGTGAATTTTATGACCCCAGGGTTAGGGGTTCTGGTGTTAGGGCGGGGCTCTATTGGTTATATAGTGAAAATGCATTTATTCTTTGAAAATCTTCTTCTGTACTTCTGGGTATCAAATAAACTAAGTAAATAGTTATAATGAGCAAGAGTGCCTCTGCCAAAATTGTGAATTTTATGACCCCAGCGTCAGGGGTTCTGGTGTTAGGGCGGGGCTCGCTCTATTGGTTATATAGTGAAAATGCATTTATTCTTTGAAAATCTTCTTCTCTTCTTCTGGGTATTAAATAAACTTACCAAGCACATAGTTATGATGAGCAAGAGTGCCTCTACCAAATTGTGAATTTCATTACCCCAGGGTCAAGGGTTCTTAAGTGTTTAGGCGGGGCTCTATTGGTAATATAATGAAAATGCATTTATTCTTTGAAAATCTTCTTCTCTACTTCTGGGTATTAATTTTATGCCCCACCCCCTCGGGTATGGGTTGAGGGGGGGGGGGTTACAAAGTCTAAAAATAAATTAATGCTTTGAAATCTGCTCTTTGGTATTAATCAACCATTTTATGATAAATATTGCAAAATTTTGAAATATTTGGCCCCAGGATCAGGTGGGATGAGGTGCACAACTTGGTATAAAGTGGAAGTGCATTTTCTCTTAATATTACTCTGATATTTCCCCAGGTATTAAGTAAATAGAGTAAGCATGCCAAGTCTTTAATTATGATAAGCAATGGTGCCTCTTTCAAAATTGTGAATTGCGAATGTCATGGGTTTAAAACACGAACCAAATTTAATTGTTTTAAAGTTGTTGCATAATACTCAGGTGACCTATAAGGCCCGTGTGCCTCTTGTATTAAATATAAATCTTTTAGTGGCTCATATAGATTAATCTTCTGGAATATACAATAACAAAGTCAGTTTCCTATTTCATTACTTTATAACTAAAATCACGGAGTTTAAATATGGCGTAGGGAGGTCAGTGAAACTATCCCGCTTCACTTTAGAAAACTACATTCACCAGCTACTTTCTGCAATATACACTGTTTAAATTGCAAAATACGACATATTGATGTTGTCTAGATATTTATTTCATTCTAGAGTCAAATGTACATTTCAATTGCACAGGTTTTATACGTGTTTCTGATCTGATACCGGTAATTTTTTAATGACGTTTGTGATTTATTGAAGAATAATGTCCGCGGTATATCTTTGATCTCGACAGTAATCGTAGTAGAATTGCTCATAGTATTAACAATATATCTTTGGGATCAATTACTCTAAGTTATCTTCATGTTTCATAGACACTTGTAACACATTCATGATGGAAATGTTCTTTTCAGTAAAAAACTTTTCTTCATAATGTGTGTGTTCAAGAGGAATTGAGTCCAGTTCTCCAACTGGTATTTTTAACTCACTTAAATGTGTGATGTCTTGTATTTTATTTAAAGACATCAATATAAAGGAGAAATTTCGTCTAACATTATTTTGCATACTCTTATTTTCCAGCTGTTGAACTGGTTCTTAATGCAGTTTCAAGAAAAATCCGAGGCATAGGAATCAGTCTATTGGAGGGTCTATTTGAAGTCAATGTTGATGTATCCCCCACACTCAGTTTTGAGGAGAAGGTATTCAGAATCTTGTACCAATGGAAATCCAAGAATGCACACATTGATCACTTGCGAGAATTAGAGAGCATTCTACAGAGAGAAGGTCAAGGACTAGCTGCGGAATACATTAAAACATTTAATACCACAGACTATACTTGTAGTGGCGTGATTAGCCCTGATCAGAATGTTTCAACAACGGAATTCAAAACATTGTCTGAATATCTCTCAAAAGACTACACTTATTTTGTCCGCTTTTTGGGGCTTGCTCAAAGATATATCGAACAAATGGAAGCAGATGGTTTGAAGATACAGGATAAAATATATATATCACTTACAAAGATACAGGAGGAATGTCGTTACATGTTAAACCGACAGATGATTTGCAATGCATTGACATTTATAGACAGAAATGATGTGATCAGTGAATTACGATGGACATCACGCAAACGAAAACGGGATGACTAATCGGGAAAGGAAAAGTATATTTTGGTTTCTTTAAGCTGTGTTCATGTTTATTACAGTTTTAATATGTTTTACAGTGTGGCCATTTGGGCGAGCGCAGTTGTGACCATCAAAAACATTGAAAACTTGAAAAGCTACTTCAAACATCAAGTGGCACGAGACATCTCAGCTAGCTGTGACGTCATGCAACATCACGGAGCTCCTCGGAGCTTACGGAGACAGTCGAGCGTTTGGTTGAAACTACAGATCTAGTGGATTTTGGTTGGAAAACATTGCAGAGTTATTTATTGTCTCTTTGAAATATTTCTACAAACTGTCTCAGATATGATTTTTAATGAATTTGAGGAAAAATCTTAACTTGCTGAAAAATGAGAAAATCTTTTAGTTCACCACTCACTTGATGTGCAAATTGCTTGCTGAACATCCGTTCACCTCCTGAAAGGTTTTAATGCTTTACGTTATTATTTATTTATTTATTCGCGCAAAGGACATTGGGTAGTAAAGGAATTCTGGGAATTTTTAACAACAAAATTTGCTTGACGTATATACAATTCCAAACATCCTCTGTTCTTACACGTTAGTCTCGAGCTCGCTTCGTGAGCGTCGCGAAGCAACGCTCGCTGAGTTTGCTATTATTAAAAATTGAATTGTCAAGAATATTTTTATGAATGACCTTGTATATTGACATTCTACTATTTATTTCATCAATGAAGAGTGCCCATAATTGGGAGAGGCTTCAGTCTTACTGTTATCTGGAGTATCATTTTATTTCTTGTGCGGTTATGATTCTAGTATGTATTTTATATGATTTTTGTTGTATTGTGACTTGTGCTTGATGCATGAAAGGTGAAAGCGTGGAATTATAGATTGCATGACCTTTAGTATATGCATACGTTGCTGCAAGTTTAATTGTAATTGTTACGATCTGATCGTTGAAAACGCATTTATCATCATAAATGTGAAAAAAACGATAATTAGGGTGATTGGCAAGGCATGGTTTTCCGGAAAGAAGGTTTGATACTTCAGCTTTTTCTCAAGTGTAAAGTAGTGATTGACAGTGAACTCTCATGTGGAATTCTCAACGCTATCAAGCGAATAAAACATATTTTAAATGGATAATCAAACTCCTTCAAAGGGTAGATTCACCAATACAGAAAGAAAATAGATGCAGAAATGGATTAAAGTTTGTTTTAAATTGTATTCAATGGACAGAAAATACAAAATTTTCTTTATAAAGTATGGGTTTGATAAGTAATATTGATTACTTTGAGTGTCAAAGACCTCTTATAATAAATCAAGAAAAACTTTGAGATAAATCATACGGGAACCAGTTCTTATTATTTATCCCATAGAACTCTATATAAACCTTTTGCCCGCTGAATACTTTACAACTTCAATTTCAACTTCATGCAAGCCTGAACAAGTATTGCTTTTACAGGTCAAAATTGCTGTTGTTTAAAACTGAAGCGATGGGCAGTAAATGGCACTCTGCATAAAATGTTAACCAAAATTCTTCCCAAACCAAATATCATTTAATATTTCTATATTTTCTTTAATGTTAGCTCATCCCTTCAATTCTTTAACAGATAAGCATTATAACTTTAAAATGAAAATATTTGATGAAAGAGTATACCTAAATTCATCAAATCTGCAAACACTGTCGTAAATATAGTGTTTAAATAATGGACTAAGGGAAGGATATGGAGATAATGAACAGTATTCAATCTAAAAGTTCATGCAACAATACAAAATAAGAGAGAGCAAACACGGACCCCCGAAACATCAGTGGTGGGGCCAAGTGCCATGGCGGAGTGAGCATCCCCTGCCGACCAGTCGCGCTAGCCGTTTGCTCCTTGTCATGAACAGGAAATAACGGAAAAACTCCGTCGCCAACTTAGTGTATAAATAATGGACAAACAATTAGTATGAAAAACGTCAGTCATGATTTGACTCAATGATAAATTGTATTTGCTGACAAGGGTATTGTATTGACCATAGAATTTACGAAATGATGACTTTAAACGAGACTGCTGATATTCTTGTTTCATCAACTTGCTTGTCAATAATTTACCTCGTTTTAGAAATTGTTCATACGCAGATCATGCTCTTGCGTATCAAATCAACTGAGACATACTCCGTATGTAGTTGATGAAGGTATGTCGCTGTATAAGTAAGAGATAACTAAGTATGAAGCAGAAGTGTCGGACTCTATGGTATCTTTTATATCATGCTCACGTTTCGAAGAAGGGATGGAAATTACCATACAATAAGTATGAAAAACGTCAGTTCCTTCTTGCTCTGCTCCTATCATGTATTGTTTTCTGGACCTTTGATATTGAATACTTTTCGTTATCTCCATATGTTTCATTTAAATGTATATCATGAAATACTTATTTTAAAAAAATGCTTTCTTTGTTAGTAAGGGGATTAATGTCGAAGCTATTGCAGAAAAAAATACACAAGTAATTTTTTTACAGTAATTGCTGCGACGTTAATTTCCATACAAACAAACAAAGAAAATATTCTATTGTTTTTATTTATATCTGTTTTAAAAATTATTCAAAGTTAAATTAATTTTTTTATCTATTGTTTTTAAGATGAATATGTCATTGTATATAGAAATGTTGGAACAGTCATTGTTCAAGTAAACTACACAGGCGGCTTACTCAGTGTTGTACGAATTGTTATTTTTCAGTCATGATTATCTTTACTGACATTGCAATGTAATTATTGTTAATTTCTCTATCTTTATAATAATCAGTTTTAAGTGTTTTATTTGTAAATGTTAGAATGTACATCTGTAAATCACCAGAGTGGAACCCTCAAATTCTGTTTAAAATAAATTAACCAAGATAGAAGTTCATGCACGTTTCATTTTTCAATTTTATTTGTGTAACACATGCGGGTAGATTGAAATTAGGGTCATTGTTGACCAACTTGTTCAATAATGTGAAACGCTGATACGTATACCCAAATAACATGCACTTATTTTTTGCTCTAAGGCGATTGAAAGCGCGGGTTTTTATACCATTTTATAAACAATAATCGGCCAGGTTAACACAAGGAAAATAAAAAAATATAATAAATAAATCACAATTCCCGGTGTTTTCAACTGTTTTTTTTTTTCTAAAATAAATGTACTGTTTTGTTAACTTATTTATAAATTAAAAACTACCGGTAATTTTTTAATATATTCCGCAATTATTATTCACATTGTTTCACATTGATAAGATACGAAAGAATGGTAGCATAATTTTCACTACTGTAGATCACTAAATTTTCGCAACACCTTATTTTGGCGAGATAGTCATTGACTTTTCATAAACAAGAGATAGTTTTCACGAATTGTTGTTTTTCCTCTATATAATCGCAAGAGATACTATTAAAGGCGAGAATGACATTTTCGCGAGCTGATGGCCTTGCGTAATTGTGCGGAAATTAAGTTCTCGGGAAAACAAAATAGTGATTTACCGTTTATACATTGTTAAGCTTTATTTGGAGGTTGCATGGATTACTTTTTTAGCATGGTACTCGTAAAACATTTACCTTTCCAATTAAAAATCTTATATCTAACTGTAATAATTATTTTATAGTGCCAATGCAAATTATGAATGTAAATAATTTTGCATTATATAATAAAATAGGCCTACATGTAGATATTTTCATAAACCTGTAGTTTAGATTTATGGATAAAAATCTTCTTCCGCCTACCTTTTTTACTGAAGCCCGTTGAGGCCAGTTCAGATCGAGAAATATTTTTTATTGATTCTAATCGCAATAATTATTGCATTTAAACGCACACCAAATATTGCGATTAATCGCAATCATCATTGCGTTTAACCGCAAAGTACTTTGGCGATTAAACTCATTCATTTTTTAGTTTAAACTCATTAATATTTTTGCGTTTAAACGCAATTTTTTAGCCTTTAATCGCAATAATATTGCGTTTAATGGCAAATTCTTTGTATTTAAATGCAAAGATTATGATAAATACTACGGTCCGATTCTTTAGAGAAGAGCCGTTTGGTATTTTGTCTTTTTGAAAATGTTGCAGTTTGTGAGATTTTAAGTTTAACAAGTGGATTCTTACAACCAAGTCTTTTAAAGCTTTTAGAACTCAACACTTTTAACGCAGCCATTAAGCAATTCCTTAGGTATCACAGCTAATAAAGAATGTTTCAGTGGTATTAATAGACATATCAATTTGGTAGAATACATGTACATCAGCCAATCTTTTTTCATTTGATTTATTTTTGATTTAATATGATTCCATCTCATAAATTCTGGTGTTTACTGTATGTGATCAAAGGAAAGTGAGTTGAAACATTTTATCAGTTGTGTAACGTACAATGTGGCCGAACTTGGTGTTTGGTGATATGGCTTGTATCACCAAGACGTTACACTTAAGTTCGTTAACTTGTTAAGTATGTTTTCTTTTGTTAACCAAATCCATTTGTACAATTATAATACAAATATAAACGTTTTTTTCTTGATTGGAAAACCACTAACTGTGGTCAAAGGGTGTCTTCCGCATTGAATTTCTCTAGTCCTGCCACTCTACGAGTACTGCTGCATCTTGGCACTTCCCCCACTTATGTTGTAAGCCACCTCTCTCTATCTAAACTTACTGCCTTATGCAGGTCTTACGTATTAGTTAATATTGTAAACCTTTTCTGTCCATCCCCAACTGTTATGTGCCTTATTCAGGTCTTCTCACAATGTTAAAGTATAAATAGACAGGGTGTAACAACTCCATCAACAGAGAAGCATCATGGACTTCCTCTTTTTTTTGCTATTAAACGCAAAGTGCTTTGCGTTTAAACACAATGATCATTGCGAATAATCGCAATGTTTTGCGTTTAAGCTCAATAATTATTGCGATTAAACACAATGTTTTGCAATTGACCTCAACGGGCTCTGTACTTATTGAATAACTTTATTTCAAAAAAAAAATATTCGAAACTACATTAGTGTAAACATACGGTCTTTGAAAATATTAATTAAATATAATAATCTCTACTGATGAAGACAGTGTAAAATAAATCCTTGCTTTTTAATAGTTTAACCTCCTCTCTGTTGCAAGTGTAACCGAGCAGCAAGGCAGATGTTAAGTTTTCATAATTTATTCAGGAAATAAAGGCATTGATCTAAAATAAACAAAGTACATAATAAGTCAAATTACAAAAATTGAGAAAATAACATATGAGATAATTTACCTTACAGTATACGTTTCAGAAAAATGAGCTCCATGAAAAAATGTGTTCTGTAAACAATTCAAATTTAAACCTTAAAGACTCATTTCATTTACAACTTCGAATGCAAAAATACAATAAAGTAAAACGTTTGCAATCAAAATAATAACGTAATTCAAATCTTTATATGGCAATGAAACATATTGTTAAATATACAAATTACATACCATAAGATGCATATGATGGACACTGGATTTAAAATATAACTTCTTTCTGGAAAACGTATTACTGCTCTGATATACAAAGTAAAGCGCGGTAAATTTATACTTATAATGAAAATGTATTATTGGATGATAAAATAGGAAATAACCAATCAAATGAAACAGCCAATGAAATTATAGAATAAACTTTACTCAGGCAACTCAATCCAGGTGCGCAATAGAACTTTTGGTAAATCAAATTTTAAGATTTTATTTCTCAAAACGATTTGAAAAAATAAATAAAAACGAATAAATACATATAGAAATAGATTTCATAATATCACATACTCCCCTGGAAAATAGTTAATCTGTCCTCAGATTATAATAATATCAAATTCGCATACTAATAAACACGAATCAATTGAATTCCTCCATTTCACAGAACAAGAAATAACTTTTTATCACACATATTCAGAACCACAATCACTGATGAATTGGCTTCAACTCCTGTCTGTTCACGTTTCTGGTCGTTTTCCAAACGCACACTGTATACGGATGGAAAGGGTTTTCCAACAATGGTGAACACTTCTGGTCTCCACTTATCTTGTATCTTAACGCGTCCTTTGATCCCTCTGTTTCTTACGTATACACGGTCACCGATCTGCAACTCATCATTCACTTTTTTTGCATCGTGTCTCTGTCTCCGCTCATCTTCGTTCCGCTGAATCTCTGCCTTTGCCCTGTTGTACGCGAATTGTAACTTTTCCGAATGAAGTTCAATCCACCGGTCCAGACTGATGTCGTCGGTTGGAAGATTGGTGTTCCGTCCTAATAGGAAATTTATCGGCCGGTATGGGTCGCGTCCGTACATCAGGTAATAGGGTGAATATCCGGTTGACGAATGAGGTGTCACGTTGTACGAAAACACAAGCTCCTTGATGTATTCCGGCCACTTCCGCTTCCTCGCTGGGGGTAGAGATTGGAGTGAATCGTGTAGCGTCCTGTTGAAGCGCTCGCACTGTCCGTTTCCTTGAGGATGGTACGCTGTCGTTCTTGTCTTTTTAATACGGTAAAGGGTACACAGTTGCTGAATAATCTCCGCTTCAAAACACTTTCCCTGGTCTGAATGTATACGTTTACATACTCCAAATTTAAAGAAAAACTCGTTCACTAACACTCTGGCTACTGTTTGGGCTGTCTGATCTCGTGTCGGAACGGCTATAGTCCACTTAGAGAAAACATCTGTGATCACTAAAACATTCTCAAAACCTTGCGCTTTTTCCAACACAGAAAAATCTATCGCTAAACACTCCAGTGGTTCGGATGCTGTAAGGTGTCTCATACTAGTATGCACTTTGGGTGGTATCTTGGATATTGCACAACGGTCACATTTTTTACAGTAGTTTTTAATATCCAGAAACATTTTTGGCCAATAACACCGCTGTCGAATCATATTGAATGTTCTTTCTATACCTTGATGACATGGAGACACTCTAACACTAATGGTCGGTTGCGTATCTCAGATTTAAACCTACGATCAATGATTCCGGGTTTAAATCTAAGTTTTCGCGTTGCACGCATGTAAGGATTGGCTGAGTACGGCTCAGAATTACGGTAAATTCTGAACCTGGTGTAGAGGTGGTTTAAACCCAGCTTTACAAGGTTTCAATGTATTTTTGGGTAGAATATTTCGATATTTTGAAATATTTCGATGTTGCAGAAATGTTTTATGGCAATTATGATTGCGTTGATATATTTTGCAGTATCAAAAAAGCTATTCTACAAAATAATTATTTGTCCATGTTGCATGTTGATTTATTTTTTGGGAACACCTCTTAAACAACTTTTCAATCAGCCGTTTTAACACTGATTTATATGTAGTATAAAGTTTTGGAAGATACTTTAATTTAAATGCATAAATGTACATAAATAGGAATTTTATAGAAACTTTCTAACATACCAAATTTAAATCAAATTACGAATTTTACACTTTCGAACAGCTGATGATACACATTCCAATAATTTCTAATAATGCCGAATTTCTTTCAGTTATCAGTGAATCAGGCTATCTACAGCTAGGGCCGAAGGGACCGGGCAAGGGGGAGGAGAGTATGTTCGTCCCCTATAAATTGTCGCTGTATAAAATTCTATAGAAAACATGTAGATAATAATAAGTGTTTTCTCAAAAATAATGTCTTATAAAGTTTTTTTTTCATTTGAATTTAAACTAAAAATCTAAATTTATACATTTTCCCTTTATCATTTACCTGCATACATGTATTGTGTTTTGATTTTGTTTCTAAATTACTTACTAATATTCCAAAGACCCCATCCATGTTTTCTTCTATTCAGTCTTTTGCAAAAGCTGTATTCTTTTTGCGTTTTTATATTTTCTTATGGTTTGAATTTCGATGAAAGACGCTGTGATTTGAATTAAATCCTGTAAATTGTATTGCATTTTTTTTCAGCATTAACAATTTACAACTTAACATCAATATATATCATTGTTTTTTAATATATCCTTTTAATTTTCAACCAGTTACTAGAATTAAAACTTGATTTAAAGTGCTGTAATATTAGGAAACCTATTATCCTTCAACATTTTATAGGAGTAAGTCAAGATTAGGTAAATCTTACTCAGTTTTATAGCGTGCAACGGAAATGCGACTCAGGTAAACCCGACTCAACTGGGGTTTAAACCCGGCTTACGTGATCCACGGATCAACCACTGAGCTGTACTTATCTGAACCAAAGGTACGCAACCGGCCATAAGTCCTTCAAACACTCCGGAAGTAGAATCTGCGTGAGCTCTCCTAATTTGGGATCTTTAATCTTCCTTAGAATAACACCATCAGAAATACACAGGTATTTTAATTGCCTTAACAAAACTTGCACTTTCTTATTCTGTTTCCTCGAAAAACTTGGTTTAGGAACAGTGTTTGTCTCCAGGAAATTCGCACACTTTGAAATCACTGCGTCTTTTCTTTGTAATTCACTGATATCATCCTTTGAATATCCAGGAAATGTTTCTGCATGAGTGACAGTAGCTGAATCAATGAATAACACTGAGGAATGCACAGTTTTAATATCCAAAGGAACAATAGATCCATGAATGCATTCACTAAAAACATCAACACTTTTCATTGGAAGTCTTGATAGTGCGTCTGCGTTGCTGTTCTGTTTTCCCGGTCTGTACTTTATCTCGAAATCAAAATCTGCTAGTTGTGAAGCCCATTTCTGTTCATATGCACCAAGTTTAGCTGACGAAAGGTATTTCAACGGGTTGTTGTCTGTAAGTACCACAAACTTGTTTCCTAGTAAATAGTCTCTAAATTTCTCCGTCACACTCCACTTAAGTGCTAAAAGTTCAAGTTTAAGGCTACTCATTGTCTTTGCGGAACGTTCATTAGGTCGAAGAGTTCTGCTGGCGTATGCAATAACGACAGTACGTCCATTCTGCACTTGGGAAATAACGGCTCCTAGTCCATGTGCACTTGCATCTGTTTCTACGATGAATGGTAATGTGAAGTCAGCATATCCAAGTCAAGGAGCACTAGATAACTGTGTTTTCAGCTTTTCAAACGAATCCTGACAACTTTTTGTCCACTTATCACCAAATTTTGTCTTCGGATGTTTCATATTAAGCTTGGCAATTTCAAGTAATGGTTCCGCAATCTGTGAGAAATGTCGAATAAAACGGCGATAGTAGCCCGCAAATCCCAAGAATGATTTCACTTCTTTCACATTTTCAGGTATTTTCCAATTAACTATGCATTTGATCTTCTCACTATCAGTGCTGATGCCGTCTTTACTTACAATATGTCCCAGATATTGCACCGATGGTTGGAAAAACTTACACTTCCGCATCTTCAGTTTAAGACCATGTTGACGTAGAATAGAAAACACTTTGTCAAGACGCTCAATATGTTCACTTAATGACTTTGAATAAACATTGATGTCGTCTAGGAAAACTAACATTATGTTGAATACTTCTTCCCGGAAACAGTGCTGCATTAAACGCTGGAACGTAGCTGGCGCGTTGGTAAGTCCAAAGGGCATGCGCATAAATTCATACAGTCCGAAAGGTGTTGTGAATGCTGTTTTCTCTATATCCTCTTCTGCTACTGCTATTTGGTTGTAACCGGAAGTTAAATCCATGGTAGAAAACATAACAGAACCATGTAACACATCAAAAGTTTCTTCAACTCTGGGTAACGGAAACTTGTCTTTGATCGTCTTTTCGTTAAGTTTGCGATAGTCCACATAAAGTCGTAGAGTGTTGTCTTTCTTACGAACAAGTACAATAGGTGAAGCAAAAGAACTGGTACTCTCAATGATCACACTGTTATCCAATAATTTTCTAATGTGCTGTTTCACTTCCTCAAACTGAGATGGTGGAATACGGCGGTACTGTTGAGAAACCGGTTTATCATCAGTGAGGCGAATGCGATGTTGAACAGTATTTGTACTTCCGATGTCGTCATCATTCCTGGAGAAAATGTCTCTATATTTCTGGAAAAGTGAAGTTATTAACGTCTTTTCTTCTTTGCTACAGTCGAGATGGTAAATGTCCTCAGGTAACGTGAATTTATCATCAAGGGTCGTAACCTCTGAAACGTCACAACTCTGAATAAATATTTCCTCAACACTGCCGACTCTATTAAATCCAATATTTGATCTATTGGGATCAACTTCACATCTAGACACAGTTCCTATTCTTGTACGTGGTTTAACTGAAATTTCCTCATCTCCGATATTGGCTACACGAACCCATAATTTACCACTGCTAATTGTAGCACACGTATCCACGGTCCGGAAATTCCTGTGTAGATGTGATCCATTAATCAAAGGATTAACAATGACATCACTGTCAATGTGTGGTCCAGTGCACTCTATAACAATGGCAGTATTTGCTGGTATACGAATAGGAATTGACCCGCTCACTCGTGCTAATCCACGTACAATCCTGTGATCGAACATGTTGCTTTCAGTAAAAACTTCCTGTAAATGTGCACTTGTAGGAATGTTAGAAGTAGATAAGATATCCTTGCAAACACTGAGAATATTCATACCAATGAGACCTGGTAGAGCTTCTTTACGCTTCCTCGTTTCACTATCTACAGAGTCTTTGACTATAAGAAAACCACGTTGAGGAATAGTTTTTCCTAAGTATTGGACATCAAGTTCTACATATCCTATATATGGGATGGTAAGTCCATTCGCAGCTTTAAGTCGAATAAGATTGTCTTGTATGATGGTTGTTCCTAATGGCTGAATAAACTGTTTGAAAAAGCTTTCTGTCAGTGTTGAAACCATGGAACCTGTGTCGACTAAGCACGGGATTTTCACATTTAACACAGTATTATCCATAACAGGACAATTCCCTATAAAGCGTTGCATAAACAATGAGTCCTGTTGACCGCCATCTATTGTCGGACTCGTGTCAATAGATGTTACTTGTTTTCCGAATCATTCATTTTTACACGGCAAAATCTCTGTATATGGCCCAGCTTTCCACATTTGTAGCATTTCGGACGGTTGCTATAACGGCGTTCCGTAGAATGTTCACTGCCTTCGCGATCTTTCATCAGGGTGGTTAGTGAGTCGATCTGCTTTTGTTGTGCTTGGATGATTTTCAATAGCTGATCCGCTGTAGACGATTCCGGTGTTGGGACATTTAAATTTGGCTGATCGCTGATCTTCTCGACCGGTTTACTGTCTGGAAGCTTTGACTGCGTGTTTGAATGGTGTTGCGTTGTTTCTTCTTCACTGAATAGAATTATTTCATCTCGAAGTGTGTAGAAATCAACGGGTGCGTATTTGCTTCTAACAAGTCGTTTCGCTTCTTTGCGTATGAATGGGTCACACAAGCCGTTAGCGAATCGTTCACACAAGGTGCGCTCTTTCTCTGGAAAAACACTGCTGTCTTTCTTAATCACTTTCTGAAATAGATCCAAAAGCACATAAGAATATTCACGAATTTTTTCACTTTCTTTCTGGTGTCGCTCAAAGAAACGTTGTTGTAACGTAATAACACTTTCCGGATTTCCGAATGCTGTCCGTAAGCAATCCAATAGTGCATAAGGGTCATTACGAATATCTTCTCTGTATTTCACTTCATCCTTGGCCTGACCTTCCAAATGCGTAAATATAAGATCGACTTTCTGTGCATCGGTCCTTTCACGAGCTGCAAACGCTACTTCTAGATCGTCAATCCAGTCATCAATTGACAAATCATTTTCAGTTTTAGGTCGACCAGAAAAAGTTTTAATCTTGCGACTTTCCGGAATAAATGTATGTTTTTCAACGACTTTTGGCTTGGAAAGTTTTTCTTCTAAAAGTTCTTGTTCCAATTCATGGATACGGTTTTGAAGATCTCTTTTATTCATTTTCAGAGTTCAGATTCCAAGTTCACGATTACGCATGTGAGTTAAGGCTACATATGGAAATCTCTATACAAAATATCTTATTAAATTCCATAATGGCCAAGTTCCGCAATGTTTTTTTAATACGAGTTATCGTCCCTAACTGTGAAGCTCTCCACTTCCGGGGCGTCAATACACAAAGCAACAAAATCGCTGAAGCAAGAAGCGTCGAGAAAATACACACTATCGGTATCGAGGACACTGACAAGCCAGGTAAGGGATTTAAATAGCGGTCGTATTTAGGATGTTACACTGGTTTACGATGCATATTAATATAAAAGCAGTACAGAGTTGGTTCTTGAATCTAATACACATGCAACAACCATAAGGATCTAGTATATTCTAGAAAAAAAAAATGTCAATATTTATAAAGGTCTATATACATATATCTATTTTTTTAAAGTATAGAATTTATTTTTATTCGACGAGGAATGAATATTTACAGCTGTCAAGTTGTGTTCATAAGAAAATCTAACATTGCCCCCCCCCCCCGTTGTGTAAAAGGCATTGTTTAATTCGCAAAACAATTCAGTAACATGTAAATAATTTTGAATTCATAACATAATTTATTTTAAAAGGACATGAATGTCAATTGTAACATTTTTTTTTAAAAAAAAATTCCTTTTAAAGTACTTTACAATGTACTTTTTATTTTCCAGTATGGGGAAGAAATATTGCTGCGTTCCTGGATGCAGCAACACTTCTCAAACATTGGATGAATATGGAAATAAAATAATATTGCATCGCTTCCCTATGTCGGAGAAAAAGGCCCATATTAAGCGTCTCTGGATTCAGCGACTTCGACATGTGAGAGCAAATTTGGTTGTAAAAGACCACACACGAGTTTGCAGTGTTCATTTTGAGGGAACATTTACTGAGGAATCGATTCTCACAATTTTTCCAAGTAAACCCAAAAAGGAAACAAAATCCCGAAGACCTCTTGTAAGAAAAATTGAAAATTCATTTCAAAATGATGGTTCAGGGCAAAGTGATACTGAAAATCCACAAGATAATCCTGTGTCAATGTACAATGATGTTGCAATACAAACTGACCTCAAATATTTTTATTCAAAAGATGCGTACACAAATACAGAAGAGCATTGTGTACATGTTTCAACTGCAACCCAGACGACTGGCAGCCCTTTGTCTACTGTTAATGCTGAAGTTCAGGCAGATTTGCCTAGGATGACATATGAAGATATGAAAGATGACGATTCTAAAACAAGATTTTATACAGGTTTTGCAACTTTTCAAATTTTTTGGATGTTTTTTGCAGTGCTGAGGCAGAAACATGGTGCAGAGAAACTCAATTACTGGGAGGGAGAGACAAGGTCCATGGGTGAGAAGTCGTATCATGAACCAGGGGTTAAAAAGCCTGGCAGAAAACGTTCCTTGAGACCAGTGGATGAATTCTTGATGGTTTGCATGAGACTTCGTTTAGGGCTGCTTCAGGAACACCTTGCTGATATTTTCAGGGTGTCCGAAACGACAGTATCACGAGTAATGAACACTTGGATTAACTTCCTCTATGATCACTGCAAATCCTTAATAAAGTGGGTCTCCAGAGAGCAGATTTTGTGTAACTTACCAAAGCTTTTTAGCATGCACGCAGATACTAGAATTGTGCTTGATTGCACAGAATTTTTTATTGAAAAACCGTCCTCTTTAAAGGCACAGTGGATGACGTGGTCCGAATACAAACATTCAAACACTTTTAAAATATTGATTGGTGTGTCACCAAGTGGTATGGTAACCTTTGTGTCAAGACTGTGGGGTGGGAATGTGTCAGACAGACACATTACTCAGCACGATGGATTTCTTCCAAAACTGTCACCAGGTGATGTTGTAATGGCAGATAAAGGTTTCACAATAGAAGATTTGTTACCAGCTGATGTTGGATTGAATGTTCCACCACGAGTATCAAGTACATGCCAGATGTCAAAACATGATTTCTTTAAAACAAATAGAATAGCTTCAGCCAGAATAGTAGTTGAAATGAAGATGGAACAGATCAAAAACTACAATATTGTGAACTCAGTTTTACCAATTTCAGAAGTGCACTTATCAGAACAAATCATAGTTATCTGTACATCTTTAACTAACTTATTGCCTCCACTTCTGAAGTGACATAAATATAATTAACTAGATTTTTTTCTGGATGCCCTAACATGTATAATTATTTTTATTCCTGTTATGAGGAAATTTACTTTCCAGGAATTATTTTTTTAAATGCATGATTAAAAAAACACATTTAAAGTATATCACATTTTGTGGTTTTCAAGGTGATGTGAATTTTGACGATTCGATGTGAAATACAAACATTCATTTGAAAATAAACTTGAAATATGTACACTTGGACCTTGAAATCATAAATGAGATGTGGATAAATAAAATAAATCACATAACCTTTTTGTTTTTATTCAATATTTTTACAGATGAATCTAAGCTCTCATGCAAATATAAAAGTTTCAGAGTGTTAACAGTTTTATGTACACATGTTCAAAATCAAATAGAATCATTCTATGCAATATTCAAATTATTAACAAATGTACATCAAATGTTATACATGTACAGTGATTTTCCTCGCTGAATTCTTCTAGTGAAAAGTTCTGGTACAACACCATATGTATAAAAAGATTTCATCTTTGGAACCATATCATTCCAGATTCCAACATCAAAAAGAATTCTTTCAACAGATATACCTTTTTTTGTGTAAACAACAAAATCAACCCAGTTAAGTTCATATAATGCTAGCTGGCCTTGAACTTGGTACATATAATTATGGTTCTGTTTTAATTTAAGTTCACCATTGTTTTCAGTGCAAAAAAAATGTTTATCTTGTCCACATTTTGTCGGAGGCATATTCCTCCAAGGACTTTTTTGTTTTCCATAAGGACACTTGACTTCGACAAGTCCTGTACCACATTCTACACAAGTAACAAGTCCATCAACACTGGCCCCAAGGAATGGGTACTAAGGGTTGACATATAGTCCACAGGACTCGATCTTCACATCACCACACAAATTTAAATGTCGCTCCATATAATCACTCAAAGCAACAGATTCATTTGTTCGACCATAACTGATACTTTTTACACAATCTGGTACTACTACGTATCCACAAATTTTCTTGACTAAATTGTCTGGTTCGGACTTTACTCTTTTGACAACGTCACCCATTACTGATGCAGTAATGATATTGCATCTAGCCTTTCTCCAGTTAACATTTGAATTTTGACCTCTAGTTCCCTTTTCTAACAGTTCACTAACCTCTGTTGTTATATTCATATTGTTTACAAAAGATTTAAAATTTTCAACACATTCTTTTGATTTTAGATTTACATTGTCCCTATACATAAAATCTGGCAAAAAAATATTCAAAAAGGAATCTATATTAACATGCTCTGCTCTTAAAGTTTGATACAAGACACATTGTGGGTAAATATCTTTTAAGCCATCCAAAATATCATTCAAAAATGAGCTGCATTCACTTTGACAAGGTCCAGGATTATAAATGCCTGGGAAAGGACGAACTTTGTCTACAATATTATCTTTTTCTGTTTTTGAAAAACTAATATCTCCAACTCTTTTTGGACTTGGTTTTCTTCTCAAAGGTGTAGGTCTATTCCACACACACTGATTAGATGTACAGGAATTTTTTGTTTTTACAAGTACATACAATAATGCTCCAACATGAGCACAAAGACCTGCCTCTCCGGCTTTACAATTACATAAAGCATTTACAACAATGCCTGACTTTTTCTTTATACAAACATTCAAAGAATAATATTTAGCACTTTTTCCAAATCCAACTTGAACAGTCTGTTTCATTGATGGAAGACAAGTTGATCGCATGTAACAAAAATCACTGTTTCCTTTATTGTATTCAATTTCTCTTATGAACCCTTCATTGCACAGACGCTTTGCTTTTTTCATTTGTCTCTCGAAATTTAACCTTTCTCCAGTTACAGGATTTTTATGACATTTAAAATAAATATCAATGGCCTTATGAGAAATTTCAGGAATATCAGTAGAGTCAAGTTCTTTCCATGAATCTGTTGAAGGATGAACAGGAACAGTTTTCTCTATTTCTTCATCTGTATCTATGAAATCTTCTGATGAATCATAACCATGCCTCATGGCTTTGTAAACTCTCTTTGCCAATACCTCTTTATTCCCAGATTTTTTAAGCCTGTGATTTTCAAGCCAATTTTTTAGTTCAACAACTTTCCATGACTGAATTTCTTCTAGAGACAAGTGAGATGGTTCACCTTCATCATCAGTGCTTGAAGACATTCTGAAACATTCAATATTGTATATTAATACAGATTCAGAAAACACACAGTGCCCAAATAACTTAAAAGGGTTTCATAAAAATTGAATGTAATTAGGATCCCAAGATGTAATTTATGTAAACAATTATTGATATCATATCAATATCATATAAAGACATAATCCGAGATTCCCCTGACTCTAACCCCTGCTTTTATTTTATGACATGTGCGGACAAACGTCATAAAATAAAAGCGGGGGTTAGAGTCAGAGGAATCTCGGATTAATAAAGACACCCCCTTTTTTCAGAATTAAACGCTGTTGGATGGTCACATATTCAATTATTCCGACAATATTACATTACTGTTAATATTAAACAGTTATTAAATCATAATTTCAATGTCATCTACATTCGGTTCGAACAGGGTCGATCTTAGACCTTGCAATAGCCAATTCAGTTGAATATTTAAATGCCACGCGAAAACGCTGAGCATTTATATTTTATTATTTGTATACCATTTACCACGTTTAGATAATGGTTATAAATCTTTAAATAAATTAATTATACAGATATATCGCAAATCTTACCTTGGTATGTCCTTGTCTAACGCAGAAATTGCAATTATCAGTACTGTGAGTACACAACACAAGTTGAACAACAAACGCCCCGGAAGTCAATGTGTTGGCGACATCTAGCGATTTTTCAAGAGAGATAACTCCAGAAATAAGACATTGCGGAACTCAGCCATTGCTCTACCTACCGCACAGAAAATGCTAAGACTTGTTTTCTAATACATTCTTGGTACCCACGATATGCGACTGCCACTACACATTATGACGTCATATTATGACGTCATCGATCTTTATTACACAAGTTTATAAGAATTATCAACAAAATCGCTTCGGCGTAAGGGCATACCTTACTTTGTTTTACAGAAACAAGGTATCAAAAGATGCAGAATATTCCAAGGATTTAAGATATTGCTGCACAAATGTCGGCAGTGCAATTGGTTACTTGCTATTCGTGCAGTTTTAAGTTTTAACAGGGTAAAAATTCACTGTCCAGGGTAAGTTTCCTAAAAAATTTTATCAATTGAGAGAGTGCATTGGATTTGTGCAGCAATTTTATTAATTTTAAGAATATTCACCTTTATTTTACACATCGTTTATTTCAAATTAGATAGGATAGGCCCTTGCGCCGACGTTGTTTTGTTTATGTGATTTAATACCTTGAATGGGAGAGAACAATGACGTCATAATATGACGTCATAATGTGCACTTGCATTAATAAACTGTGGGTACTGAGTATGTATCAGGAAATCAATTTGAACCTTCTCTGTACATAAAATATACAAATTATGAATTTTCATTAGCTTATTTGCATAAAATATCCATATTTAGCCTTAACTCACTTGCGTAACATTTACCGTTCCTATGAAAACAGTTCACAATACAAATCCAGGTAAATCAAACACTCTGTCGATGAGTAGAAATCACCATACACACGCATCAGTGGAATATAAGTTCCCTAATCAATGCCTCGGTGTTGTTTCTCGCAGCGCCATGATGTAACCGAGCAGCAAGGCAGATGTTAAGTTTTCATAATTTATTCAGGAAATAAAGGCATTGATCTAAAATAAACAAAGTACATAATAAGTCAAATTACAAAAATTGAGAAAATAACATATGAGATAATTTACCTTACAGTATACGTTTCAGAAAAATGAGCTCCATGAAAAAATGTGTTCTGTAAACAATTCAAATTTAAACCTTACAGACTCATTTCATTTACAACTTTGAATGCAAAAATACAATAAAGTAAAACGTTTGCAATCAAAATAATAACGTAATTCAAATCTTTATATGGCAATGAAACATATAGTTAAATATACAAATTACATACCATAAGATGCATATGATGGACACTGGATTTAAAATATAACTTCTCTCTGGAAAACGTATTACTGCTCTGATATACAAAGTAAAGCGCGGTAAATTTATACTTATAATGAAAATGTATTATTGGATGATAAAATAGGAAATAACCAATCAAACGAAACAGCCAATGAAATTATAGAATAAAACTTTACTCAGGCAACTCAATCTAGGTGCGCAATAGAACTTTTGGTTAATCAAATTTTAAGATTTTATTTCTCAAAACGATTTGAAAAAATAAATAAAAACGAATAAATACATATAGAAATAGATTTCATAATATCACACAAGTAAACAAAACAACTAGGAGCCTGCAATTTTAAAATACACAAAGGGGCGGAGCTATCATGTCTCTCAACTGCGACTGCTGGGTCTGTTTTTTAGTGTAGTCCCAGAGCAGTCCCAGAACGGTCCTTAAGAAGTCCCGGGCGATAGACTTTTTTTCAGATATTTAAAGCATTTGTGACTTAACAAGGATGGAAAGATCTAGGAAGTAAAAATTATGTGCACTTATTTTGAAATATCCAGAAACGTCAATTTCTGCTGATGCTTCCAAGTTTCTATCAATATTTAATGTCTAAATTTTATACATTAGTTTGTACATTAATAATAAAACATATGCATTCTTTTATAATGTTGAAAATGATATCCTTTTTGCATTGTTTTTTATTTCAAGATTTATTTACCAAATCTGGTCACATGCAGCAGCCGAATATTTTGAAGTAAAAAGCACAAAAACATTTTGATTAGATTCTCTGAAGCCGAGTATGGACTTAGACGCGTCTTGTTTACATGACTTTAAAATATCAAAAATAACAGTCTTCAATGCACATAATATTCCGAATGGATTATACATTGATTGCGATCATCGCTTGATTGTGAAAGCACATTTTGCTTTTTTGAGTTCAATATATAATCAA